ATGTCAAATAAATTCTTTGATTGTGTGGTTCCAGAAATTTGAGCTGACTTTTCAATGTCTCTTCATAGTAAACTATCGCTTGAGGTGCATTGCCTAGTTTGTAATATAAAGCACCCAAATTGTTGTACACGCTAGAATGTGCAGATGCACATCGCCTTCTCATTTTTTTATTTTAGTTGATGTACCTATTTTTGAGTTTTGCATTCAAGTTATATGTAAACTAGTACGCCACTGCCTGATCATATGATATGAGTTTCTTGTAATAACTTTGACGTCATGAAAATAGACATTCAAAGATAAGCTTTCTTCTTAGTTACACTTTTTTTTTCCATGACATTTTGTTGAATGTGTTGACAACTACTAATAAACTATTGAAATACATTAAAGTTTCAAGCCTTAGAACTATTAAGATTTCATTTCGATTACATAAATGCATGAAAATGTGACGAAAAATTGGTTGCTAAGGTTGTCGTAAGATTTGTTTGAATTGTTTTGGAGTTGATCGACATTAAAATTCTTTCAAAATCAACACTAATTGTAGTAAAACAACGAACATAGTGTAAGATAGCAACAATAATCCATTGAACTTGTCCAAACGTGACGCTGTTACGTTTTTGACGCATTAAAATGAACTTTTCTCCGAAACCAAAACAGCTGCGAGGCTCGTTCAAACGGCATTCAGCGCAGAACTCGATACTCTACTTATGAAAGAAAGAGCAAAGTCCTAGGTCAAAAATTCAAGTCACTAGATGCATTTTATAGGTGCGTGACGCTGTTACAAAAAAAGATCCTAAAGCACGATTGCTTCTCATTTTTCGGTTTTTCGTGCAAATTCCGAGGTGTAGCAAAAACCTTCAGGATGCAAGTTTGTGGACAAAGCTGCAGAGAATTGAATTCTCTATTCGACAGAAAAAAAAGTTATTTTATGAAAATCTGTAGGCCAGAAAATTAAAATTAAAGTTTTCAAAACTTTTAAATTTAAATTTTTTAATTAAAAATTCAGTTTTTTTTCAAAATAAAGGCCGAATTCATTATCAGCATGAAAAACTACGTCTGGTGATGGGCTCCTATCGATTTCCCAATGAAAAGAAAATACTTGGTCAGTGAGGTCTCGCGTTACGTGGATAAGCGGCATTGCAGGTATTTTTCCAGTAATGTAGACAGAGAACGTGTCGTGAGACTATTTGTAGAAAATGAATGAAACTGTTTTAAAGAGTGATGTCATAATATGGATACGGTTCGTATGAAGCCTTTCCTACGATCTACCACGTCCAAAAGCTTGGCAACTTTGAGAAGCTTTGAAAATTTAAAAGAAAATTGTCAAACTTGCCAAAACTCTCAAACTTCCAAAACCCATAAAAATTCCTAGGCTCCCAAACAACGGCCTTGATACAAAGACTAAGATCAAAAGAACATAGATGGATTTCAAGGCTCCTCAGATTGATTACAGGATTATAGGTTAGAGAATATGATATTCAGAGTACTGGATAGACAATTCTTCCTTTTTGTACTGTACGTCGATCGGTCATCGGTTGAAGTAGACCAAATCGCGCAAGAGCCATCCTTCCTTTCATAACTTTCCCAAAGTATTTCGAAGCATCTCCGATCCGTTAAGATGTAACGGCTTTACGTCTGTATGTCCTTATCTCTTTACCGCTTAACACTTTTAAGTCTTCACGTCTTTACGTCACCACGTCTAGATGGCAATTAATAGATAGTTTGTTGTGGTACTGTTTCACTTTTGATATTACATCACAAATGATACTCAGGTTAATCAGAACCATTTTATCTTGAATTCAACAACAAGAAAGTTTTTTCTGAATGTTTTTACTTTAATTCTGTCGAACGAACGAGTCATTCAAGAAAAATGACTTCTATTTTGAAGATATAAAAGAACAGGACGCACAAAAGGACAGAACGTAAAATTGCGAAACATTATAAACTTACTTTATTTATTTTTGCATTCGAGAATTTTGCTCAGATTCTGAAGGTATCGAGAAACCAACTACGACAGGTGCGACAATATTCTTACATAATTCTGGCGTTATGCACAGTCACTTCAACTTAAGCAATCTACAAACACGTGTGCTTTCTGAGAACTGTCTTCCTAATATCATAGACTTTCCTCTTCACCGATACAAATGAGAGTTCACAAACACAGTAAGAGATGTCTATTTACTAATATAGGCTCGTTTCATTCTGCAAGTGCCGGGCTACACTACTCGCTTTGTTAGTGTAGTCACAAACCGTCTGGTAACGCCAAGAATCACGCATGAAGAAAAGAAGGTGATTTATGCACTCTAAACAGTTTTAAAGCGTTCTCGTCGAAAACAGGAGTGTGTGAAACAGTTTTTATTTTTGAAAACAATATTGCATATATGCCTAAAAGATTACATTAAACATTGTTTTTATCTTAGTTTTAAACTTAAACGTTTACTGATGTTGTTTTCGGCAATATCTATAAACTTTGGGGCTTTGTCTTTTGACGAACAATTATGTCTCCTCCTGTAAAATTATGATAGTAGTTAACGTAAGGTTACTTTTAGAACAAAAAGATCAATGTTTTAGGTAATTATCAATTTTAATGGAGATCGAAGTAATAATTTGTTAGAAGAAAACCCAGTTTCATTGATCAGTGTACTCGAAATACGTCCTATCAACAATCCAATTATTAAATCTCGATCATTATCATTATGCGGATCTGGTTCGTATGGTTATGTCTTTGCTTCTCAATGTCAACGGTAATAATCATGGTTTATATACAACCTAGAAATCCTTTATCCTTAAATCTATTTTCAAATATTAGTGAAAGTAGTACTTCAAACCTTAATATATTAACGCAGCAGATCCCAACAGCGGTCTGTAATACTTCAAACCTTAACTTAGTAACTCAGTCGATCCCAACAGCGGTCTGTAACACTTCAAATTCTTCGGTTACGCGGGGTAGTTCGGTTGAAAGTTTAACGTTAGAAAGACGGTCAAAATGCAATATGGAAAATCCAAACCTTTGTCACTTGGCTAATAAAAGTCTGGTGGTTAGTTGTTGGCGAGACAGTTCTAAACATAAATGGGTATCACAGAATATAATGACAGCATTTCCGCAAGAACGTTTTGACCATATTATCTTTGTCCATGACAACTCTGATTGGTCAAATCATAGCGGTTTCGAGAAATTTATATGGATCAGAGCTAATGGTCAAATGAAATTTTGGTTTATCAAACGATTTATTCCCATGCATATTTTGAAATCGTATAGGTATATATGGCTGTTTGATGACGATGCTGCTTTAACATTTGATCCGTTACATTACGAATGCGTGGTCAGTAAATTAAATATATCACTGTCTGCTCCTGGACGACTGAACGGAATAATAGCTCATCCGAGCACGCGTGTTAATGCAAACTACACCACAAAAATAGGGCGATGGGTGGATTTTGTTGAAATTGGACCCGTTGTAATGGGCAGTTCTTTAGCATGGCAGTGTATATGGGATATTTTAGTAGTAACGGTAAGTACCGGCTTTGGTCTCGATTTAATATGGTGTAATCTGCTTAGTGAGACGTGTATCCCCCGTGAATGGAATAAAAAAGCATGTGCAATATTGGATGCGTTTATTGTTAACCACCAAGCAGCGCACCATTCTCCGAGCCATATCGGTGAAGCAGAACTACACGTTTATAATAAATATGTTAAAGATTTTCAGACAAAGCATCAAATTTTTGGTGCTCTTGCTGAAAACCTAGAAATTTTGTATTCTTGTAATATGACTAAGTGAACAAATCCGATTTACGACGAAAATCCCATATGAAAAAAGTCGCTTGAAATTTAACGACATGTTGTGATTTTCGTAAAAGTTGCCGATTTGGCGTCGATTCTTTTTTAAGGATTCGCTCGAGTCGACGACTAATCGCCTTCTCAGTTATACGCCGTTTTGTTTTTTGGTTGAACAAGTATTTAACGCCGGATTTGAAGGAAAATTTGGACTTTTTTCATATTATCGGTTTTCTTGATTAGCTTTTCAGTGGTAGTACTGTGCCAGATTCTCATCAAAGCTAACTCGATGCGAGTTAACTTGTGCACCAAGAACTCATGCAAGGCTCTAGACCCGAGTGGAAACAAGATTTTGAACTGATGCGAAGAATGACAACTGGCTGCCCACGCCAGTAGGTGAACAATATCAAAACCGTTTTTTCCTATAGATATTAATTAATAGCTAAGGAAACATAGGCGGTTTTCTTATGTTTTTTTCCGAAACCTCTTTCTATTTTACCATAAATATTATTTCTTTTAGCAAAAAATGATAAGTGTTTAGTAAAAACCACCCAAAAATATTAACTAAATTATTAATTATTAAAATATTTTTATTAAGTGCCGGCCAAAAAGTCGACCCTCAGTAGAAGGCCACCTAAAAAACAGCGATGTACCGAGACACTGTGTGAAGACATGGGTTATTCTATAAGGAGAGGGGTTTGCACACTTCTTTTTAATATTAGAATAACAACAGGGTAATGAACGAGTTGCTGAAGTTGAACATCATAAGCCATAAGAAAATAACATCATCATTTTGCAATATATCGTAAGAAGAAGAAGTAAACAGAAAGCACTTTATGTTTTTATTTTCTAGGGCTCTAGCAACAAAGTAAGAAGTGCAGTATATTGCATTTCGTATGCGGTATGCAATGCACTTTAAAGGCATTTAATATATGGGCTTTTAATTCCTATAAAAGCCCTTATGTGGAAAAATCTCGAAAAAGCCCCACATTCATGACAAAGTAATAAACAAAATACAGAACTTTGTAACCCTTGAGTAGCTGATTCAAATGATATATTATCCGTTATATTCGAGCGAAAGAGGTTGAAGGAAAAAAGAACGCAAACGACCAGACTATAGCGAACTGGAATCAGTTTTAGAGAAAAAATTTATAAAAAGTCTGTTAGAGAGAAATGCGCATCTACTAGAAGGCGGCTGAGATTCACCAACTAACTTGACCTTTTGATTTTGATGGCACTTGTTCCCTTGATCACCTTTCTCCCAAAAATCTCCTCACTTGGATCCAAAGTATATTTCAGACTCACACAAATAGACAGAACTTTTACTCTACATATAGACAGTTCTCGACACATACACACGCTCTCACCTAAAGGAATGATCATGGATCGTATTTATATATAAAAATGAGAAAGATTTTTGGTATAAATATAGAAAAGAAATATCTAAACAATGCAACAATCGAGGGTAGAACGGGATGAAATATACATGCATTGAATGAAAACAGAAGAAACTGATGACAATAAAAATAGAGAACAAAGATATTCTAGATGTTACTAAAATATGTATATAGACTGGATGATGAAATGACACGCATTCGAGAAATGATACATAAAATAAAACGGCAGAACG